CACGCGGCACGGGCTAGATAGTTCGGACTAGCAAGCTATTCCGAACTATCTGTACAGCTAGTCCGAACTATCTAGCCCATGCCGCGTGTAGCCGTGCGGCACGGGGTTCGAACAAGCCGGGATTTAAAAATGGCGCCGGCCAGCTTATGCAAATAAAGCCCGGGAAATTCAAATCCCGGGCTTCATTTGCACATTCGGTATGCATACATTACCCCGCTAGTTCGCACTAGCGGGGTAGTGTAGACATACCCTGAGTTAGTTCGAATTAGTGCTGTAGTGTAGACATACCCTCAGTGTGTGCAATATTTAATTTGTTTCAGGTAAGAATGGAATGTCCTCAATTGTCTTTTGTACCTCCACAGGGATCCATGAGGACTGCAATCAGGAACAATGATGCATTGTCATCACCGTAGCCTTACCTACAAAACTGAAATATCCAAGGAGATCTGAAGAGCTGACAGATACAAGATGGCCCTCAGCAACAAAGGACTGAAGAATCCTGTTCTCTCAAACACAATGACAGATTATCAGCAAACAGACTGTCTCACAGTTAGAATAGCCATACCTCACCAACAACAGCATATGCTGATTTGCAATACAGAATAGACTTGCCTTAGAAAAATACTCTGACCACTGACATGGATGATAAGAAGGAACTCGGACGTAGGAGGCAACTAATTCTTTATACCTTTATCTTCAGAGCACAAGGAGGATGGGAATGGTTAAGACTGCACCATGGGTACTGCTAGGGAAAACTATCCAACACAAGTGCATGCGATGCATCACACCCACAGTGGAATGGAAGTTCGCAAGCACTCAAAGAAGCTCAAGTTACAGCATGTGAAATTAATTACAATAAAACTACTTTTATGCCATATTAAGTTAACAAAAATCGGCAAATAATCTTACCCTTCGTGCTTTACTTTGATATTTAACAGCCTTTTTTGTCTCCTCTTTAGCATGTTCTACATAATCTGATGCATTCATCACATTCTTTTCTATGTTGTTGATCATTTCACCCTTAAAATAAAATTAAGAAATTTTTAAACCATTTCTGGAATTTTCTGGAGACTGACTAAACAGCATATAAAAATGATATTAAACATGGAAAAGAATTATGTACTAGTGCCTGCAGTTTTTATTTTTGCATACACATATGATGGGGAAAAAAAGGAATGAGAAGCAAGGTCTCACAGGAAAATATTTTAACCTAAAAAGAAAAAATATTGGTAAGAGCAGGTGGGGACAAAATATTGATAATTTAAAGCATATTCCTTAAAATAAAGGTATGCTTTAATAGCTAATCTATAACTGGCATACTAAAGAGTTCAAAAGTATCTGGAAAAAGCATATGGAAATGGCAAGCATACCTACAAAAACATTCACCCAAAATTATTCACGTATTTTAAGGAGGAAGATTCTTCCATACAAACTACTTAGAATGCCAGTACATAATGAATTTTACTTCACTTACGATGAATGAACTTTGGGAATGAAATGCAAGATCAGGAAAATATTACAGTAGATCTGTTACCTGTGTTTCTGTCCATCAGAAGACATAATCAGCAGCAGTGAACAGTAAAATATTAAAAATGATCACAAATAACTTGTTCATTTCTGTACAAGGTTTAGAACATGCCAGTAATTTTCATACTTGTTCATTTTGTATCAATGCAACACATTAGGCTTATAGAATGTGAAGTCCTCCAAAAAGGCTATGCTAAATATAGACTGATTATTCATAATGCTAAGTACTAAATTCTTTCACAGTGGATTTCACACAGTTAAATTCACTATTAAATAAAAGCCAATGAATCCCAAGACCAGTTTATATACATCCACTGAATACAATTTTATAAATACTGCAAATAGAGTTAATTGTTTTTAACCCTAATTTGATCTTTTCTTCCCATCTCCTTATTTTCATAAATGTTGTCTTAATGAGAGCTGGGGACACTAATTATCACCTTTCCACTTATAGACAATTCTCCCATTAACATTAATGTAAATTATATATTCCCAAGTATGGGTACATAACATACCCATTTTCTTTTTATACATTTCTCACCCAAGATTTAACCCACACCCACCACTACTTTAGTCTTCTGCAACAGTTAACTTTTTATTGGTTTTCAACATGCCTTTGTGACGTATCTAGATCATATTTACTCTATGACCAAAACCTAGGCATGAATTTGGGTCAGTTTATTCACCCACCATATTATCTAGCCCTGATCAGGAAATTGCACTATAGTATTCAAATAATAATTTTACACTTGTACTTAAATATACCCTGCAAAAAGCTCAACCGTTACCATCTTACACATTTTTATATCTTATTGAGCACAATGGCAGTTATTCATTGTCCTTAGCAGATGTTATCAGACATAGAGCTCATCAGATTAAATAATGCCTTCTGGCCTTTAAAAAAACCCCTTTTATTTGTAATCTTTCGTAGTTTGCTTTTGGTTTTACAGGGTGGTGATTACATGTTAAAACAAAAGATAATATCTATAAAAATGTTGCAATTATCAAGACTGCTTGATATTTGAGGGTATATCTCTAGTTCTGTATTGTTTTCACAGGAAAAGCAACAAACTATGCAAAGCACTTTACTTACTAAGACAAAATTTGAATTGATTCAGTTACCTGCGTCTCAACAAACATAGCCATATCCATAAACATGTCATGTAGTTCCCGTATACTGGACTCCAGTTTAATAATATCTTTGTGACGTGACTCAATTTCATTCAGAGCTTGTCTAGTAATTTGGGAGTCTGATATAATCTTTGGAGGAGGAAAATAGGAAATACACAAGTAAGTATGTGATTGACATATTCAGGAATAGAAGAAATAGAATATGTGATAGCTGTAAAATGGACTATGAATACATACATCAGAAGTGAAAATAGAAGGATTATCACTTTCTAACATTTCTTCCAGTTCCTCATCAGTGGTAGTTTTTCCAGCTAGGAAGAAAATATGATTTAGGATTACTAGGGGGCTGGCGCTTGCCAATCTCCCTGTCGTCGGAGGTTAGGCAACCCCGGCTCTCCCCCCCAGCTACTGGGGAAGGCCAGGATCCAGCAGTGCCAGCCTGGGCCTCTTCTCACTCCCCACTCTGGCATTCAATGTCCCTTCCCCCTCCCTAGCCCCTTCTTGCTCCACTTCCCAGCCTGGGAGGGGGAGCACTTCTTCCTCGCATAGCTAGACTCAGGATTTTTTCTTTCTCTCCCCCCACACACAGCGCAGTGGTTTGTCAGGGCTCTGGGACATGGAGGCAGCAGTGGCTGATTGCTGGAGAAGGGCCAGGGCTGGGCCAAGGGGCAGCTGGGGTAGTGGCTGGAGCTCATT